TAGGGCATTAAGGTTTTCAGGTAAGTCTTCCTTCTCTCCCTCTTCTTATTCTTTATTTCCTAGGTCTTCATGGTTGTATGGCAGCGAAGCATCAGTTCAAATGGCTGATGTACTGCTGTTGGTGATGGTGATGATGAGCTCATCAACAGCAGATCTCATTCGGAGCCAGTCCTCAGGGGAGAGGTCTCGTAGATCATAGAATTTTCCAACCTCAAGACGCGGGGTCAGTCTCAGAACATGGCGACATTCATCTTCGTTTTGGCAAACGATCTTGAAGGGAGGGGCTCTTAGAAGCGTCGTCAGGCTTCCTATCGAGACGAATTGCAGAGACGATATTTATTCCCGGTGTTTTTTTCATCCAAAAGGATAGACCATACGTCTAAGGAACTTCGTCATGCTGCACCCTTTCAACCGGGAAGTCCTTGTCGGACTTAGGGGCATTCATAATAATCAAGCAACGATCACGAGAATGAGGTTTAATGCTCAGATAAGGCTGGAAATTTGGGTGGAGCAAACTGTCCTTGAGGGCTTTTTCCAGTAGACTTACTCTGTCAAGGATTAGCTTTAGATCGGAAGATGACTTGATTTTCGGTATAAAAACGCTCTTCCTTTTTCTTTCTCGCAGAGTCGCAGACCTGCCAACTGGTGTTGGTGCTACGCTTTCACTCACCACTGCCGCATAGGTCTTAGTCTTAAGTACATTGCTACTATCCGCAGAAGTCCGAGGCTCTGATAACGACGAAGATGGAACATGACTTCGACTGTCAAAAGGAGTGGCAGAGTCAGAGGCGGGTATTGGCAAGTAAGACCCCGGAGAATTCACTGCGGAGCGTTCGTCATTATGACTAGGAGTGGACCGTGGGCTGAACACAGACAAGCCATCCAAAATACGCCTATCACTCAGTACACTTCGACACGGGTCACAATGGTAAGTGATAACCGAGGAGGTGGTTCGCTGGAGCCAATCGTAAAGATTCAAAGCGATATCGCAGCAAGCGGCCTCCACCAGTCATAAAAAGAGCTTTGCACGGCCTTTGTTCTGGAAGTAAGGCCTTTATCGCAATCCAAGCACTTAGATGCCATGATCCATGCAGGTCGGCAATTGAAGTCTCCGCTTTAATCCGTTGATGTATAGTCTTCGGGAAAGAAGCCCAAGAAACACAACAGATTCGTAAGACATGACTTTCTAATGAAGCCATGCTCTTCCGTTCCAACCCATCGAGGACGAGACTGGACGTTAACTTGGTGCGATGGTTTGTATGTCTCAGTGATTCATTGAGCTATGCTGGGTGGTGGTTTTTTGCACCTTCAAAGCCAATCATACCAGATTGGTCAATGGTTACATGCCAGACAAACTCAATCTCCTTGCCCTCCAGGTTAGGGATTAGAGTGTGGCTCCTTACTCCATAGAACGGGCTCTCTGTAGTCCAGTGCCAAAACCCAGTTTTGAATGAGAACCCTAATCGTTCTCCTGTCTAGGGCTGGGCCACCTGACAAGATTCTGCTCACGCAACACAAGGAATTTTTCTTCTAACAAGTTCTTGATGCTCTGGACGTCGCAGAGGATAATCAACAGCGCCCTATCTGCTGCATCGAGCAGGGTGGATAGGGGTTTAGATGGTACTGCTCAGGCCTTCCAGTCTTCTTATCCCAATTTTACGTTTGTCCCCCCATTTTCAAACCCCAATCCTTAGCCCTCACCCAATTTGCTTAAAGTCACTTGTTTTCTGGGTTCAACTCACACACAGTCGCAGGACGTCGCTCCAATCCAGTCGAAAAGTCTATGTTCAACCAAGCGGATAAAGTCAGTTCATCCGTTTCCCTTTGGAATCCGCGAGTCTCGTTAAGACTGGTATGCCTCAACGTGCACACTTTGTTACAGATTAGTCAACAGACAGCACTTGCCCGCATCCGTCGCAACGAGACTGGACCTTAACGTGGTGCGACGGTTTGCGTACCTCATTGACCCATTGAGCTATACCGGGTGATGCCTCCGAGCATCTTGAGAGCTACTCCTACCAGGATGGTCAATGGTGAGAGGTCAGACAAACTCAGTCTCCTGGTCCTCCAGGTTGGGGGTTTGAAATGGGATGGCGTCCATTTCTGTAAAACTAAATGACTGCCACCACGCTGCCTTGCGGACAGGCTTTTGAGCCAAAGGCTTTGGATGAGGACCCTAATCGTTCTCCTGTCTAGGTCTGGCGCCCTGGCAGCATCCCAGCCCACATACAACCATGACATTTTCTCCAAGCATAAACTTCATCCTGTATCGGCCGTCGCGCAGATTATCAATGGTCGCCTTATCTGCTGCATACAGCAGGGCGGATAAGCGAAAGCACGCTATTGCTGGTGCCTCCCTTCTTTCTTTTCCACCTTTTTCTCTTACTCCCATCCCGACCCCCATTACTAACCTTCCTTCTATAATTCCCAGCTTAATTGACAGCAACCGAAGTGCTACTGGAGTAGAACCATCTGCAGCCATCATCCCACAGCACCTATCGGACGCCTATCGGCAAAAGTCCCTTCTAAGACCACGCTGTCCCGTTTCCATGGCGACATTCAACGTTCGCACTCTAAGACAAACAGGTCAGCAGGCTGCACTCGCACGCACCTTGGACACACTGGGTGTTGATGTGTGTTGTGTGTCCGAAACTAGGATAAATGACCCTAACGGGGTTATTGAATTGACTGCACCCGGCTTATCCTCTCGTTATTGGTTGCACGCATCCGGAGACGCCGATGCGGCACTCACCGGTCAAGCTGGTGTAGGTTTCATTTTCAGCTCCAAGGAGGAGTTATTGTTGGTTGATTGGATTCCGGTGAACAGTCGTTTATGTGCAGTCCGTTTGACGACATCAGCTAAGGTGAATTCGCGAAGTAAAAAAAACGTTGTTTGTTTGTGATTTCTGCTTATGCTCCCACCGACTGCAGTTCTAATGCTGTCAAGGACACTTTCTATCACGAACTGAACACGCTGCTACGCAGTGCTACTAGTTCAGATATTATAGTACTTGCAGGGGATATGAACGCACAAGTAGGGCGTATGAGCTCTTCAGAAGCTCAGCTGGGTGGTAAGTATGGACTTAACTCCGAACGGACTGAAAACGGCGAACGTCTGCTGCAACTGTGTGCGGAGCACCAGTTGTTTCTTACTAGCACTGCTTTTAGACACAGTGGGCGCCGAAGTGCCACTTGGCGTCCACCTGTAGCTGGCCAGCGATGGACCCAAATTGACCACATAGCCATAAGTTACAGGTGGCGCGGTTCCATTCTGGATTGCCGCTCGTACTGGAGTACCTGTGTCGACTCTGACCATGCCTTGGTGCGCTGTCGTTTCTCCATGAACTTTACCGGAAGGCGCACAAAGCGTCTCCCCCGATTGGCAACGGAGAAATTGTCCCAGCCCTCTGTCAGGCAAGCCTATCAAGAAGCACTGCATAGCGAACTCTCGCTGTTTTGCCCTAATGATACTGAACTTCAGTGGAATAAGATCTCGGCCACTATGCACGACGCAGGAGCATCTGCTTGTGGCACTATCAGTCGTCAGCGCACCAGTCACTGGATATCCGAGAGGTCCGTGAACCATTTGGAAGCTAGAAGGCACCTCCCGGCTGGTTCTGAACACAATGTGACCAGACGGGCTATTAGGCGTGAACTAAAGCAGAGCCTACGTGCTGACAAGGAAGCCTGGTGGACCAGTAGGGCTCAAGAAATGGAGGAGGCAGGAGCAGTAGGCAATTACCGGAAGCTCTTCCAGCTAATCCGCACCACTGGTCCGAGAAAACCAGGCGTCAGTGAGACAATCAGGGACAGCGCGGGTGCGCTGATACACAATAAGCAGCTCCGTATGGCTCGCTGGGCTGAGCACTTTGAACATCAGTTCAGCTGGCCCCCTGCTCCCGGACCTCTTCCTACTAAGGTGATGCAGGACGAGCCATGGACGGTTAGTTTAGAGCCTCCGTCAGAGGCCGAGGTCCGAAACGCGATCACAGCCCTTAATCGTTTTCGTGCCGCTGGCCCGGATTCCCTACCACCTGCACTATTTAAGGATGGTGGTGAGGTCCTCTGCAAAGCACTGACCTCCCTATTCGAACGTATCTGGAACGTAGTGTCCCGGCTAATTGCAGCGAATCGATTATAGTGGCAATATACAAGAAGGGCAGTCGCACAGACTGTTCTAACCACAGGGGTATTAGCCTAACGCCAGTTGTGACAAAATTACTGGCCTCGATTATCGTTCGACGCCCCACTGCAGAACGGGAATCTGGGATTAGAGAAGAGCAGGCCGGTTTTCGCCCAGGACGTGGCTGTATAGACCATATATTTACTTTGCGGCAGGTGCTAGAGCAGCGCCACGCATACCGCAGACCGACAATAGCTGTGTTCCTCGATTTCAAGAGTGCGTTCGATTCAGTCGATCGATCGATTCTGTTCGAAATACTTGCGCGGAAAGGTGTTCCCACGAAATATGTGAACATCCTTCGTGCTCTATACTCGAACACTACAGGCCGCGTCAGGGTCTATGGTGCCCTATCGGATAGCTTTTCGACTACAAGTGGCGTTCGACAGGGTTGCCCGATTTCCCCATTTTTGTTCAATTTCGTCGTGGATTCTATCATGGAGTGTTTCCTTGCGGAATATCACGATGTAAGCCTTGAAGTGCTACCTGGTGAAACGTTAGTTGATCTAGATTATGCGGACAATATCGTCTTGCTTTTCGACAATGTTGAGGCGGCACAATCAACCCTGAATAGGCTCTCTGTAGTGGTCCCATTATTTGATATGCACTTCGCACCTTCAAAGTGCAAAATGTTGCTACAGGACCACCAGCCACTTGATGACGTCTTGACGCTTGCTAACGAGGAACTCGAGGTGGTTGATCATTTCACTTATCTTGGCAGCTGCATCAGCAATGATGGGCGCATAAAAACTGACGTGAGCTCACGCATTGCAAAGGCCAGAGCTGCCTTCTAGAACCTGCGTCATCTTTGGCGAAAGAAGGGAGTTTCCCTCCGTCTGAAAGGCCGTGTATACAAGGCCACAGTGAGGGCCGTTCTGCTCTATGGTAGTGGGACTTGGCCCCTTCGGTCTGAAGATCTGAGGCGCCTTCAAGTCTTTGATCATCGTTGTTTGCGAAGCATTGCTGGTGTCGGATGGCACCAGCGTGTCCGCAACGATGATGTGCGTAGGCGAGTACTAGGTAGTGATAATCATGCTAGCTCCCTAGAACAACAGATAGCACTGAATAAGTTACGTTGGCTCGGGCACGTGCTACGCATGCCTGGTCACCGCTTACCTAGGAGGGCCTTGTTTAGTCTACCAGGTGTAGGATGGCGCAAGGCTCGAGGTGGACAGAAGTTGACTTGGCAGCGGGAAATGAAGTCACTGACGACCAAACTGGGTGCCGTTGGTCCGTCTCGCCTTCCGGGTTGGAGTCCACGTGACTCACCTTGTGCTTGGCTCGAGACTTTACAGGACATGGCTAGCAACCGACACCAGTGGCGCGTCTGCTGCCGTCTCCTAATCCGATTGCCTGTTTAAAGTGTGTTTGGTGCTGAGTTATCTGCGGGGTAATGGCTGATTATGACGCGTGGCAGTGAAAGCCGCAAGGAAGCTGTCTCGCCGATGCCGCCTTATCTTTGCACGATAGCCAGCTGTTTGTGACGGAATGTTGTCTACACAAGGTGTAGGCGCCTTGACCCTGAATGTTTGCTTAGGGCATTAAGGTTTTCAGATAAGTCCCCCTTCTCTCCATCTTATTATTCTTTATTTCATAGTTACTCATGGTTGTATGGCAGCGAAGCATCAGTTCAAATGGCTGATGTACTGCTGTTGATGATGATGACTTGCCCGCACAGTAGAGATCCTATCGATGGATATTTGCTGTCTATCAGAAATCCACCTGCAAGATTCGAGCCCCGTACTTACCCTGCGATCAGCCACATACGACACTAGCGGCACATTAACACTGCGCCTGTCTAGCGATGACGCAGCTTTAAATGCCGGTCAAGCTGGGGTCGGTAGTGTTTTGAGTCCTTCAGCTGAAGCTGTCCTGATCGATTGGATCCCAGTCAACAGTAGGATGTGCGCCGTTAGATTAGCTGGTTCGTTCCGTGCTACGAAGTCGCGCGAGGACAAACGGTGCCTGTTTGCCATTGCGGCCTACGCCTCCACAAACTGTAGCACTGATTCGGTAAAGATGATTCCCATCAGCAACTTCACGAGGTCCTCCGTTACAGAAGAAGCACGGATACTGTGGTGTTGACTGGCGATCTAAACACCCAAGTCGGAAAATTGTCCTCTGATGAGCTCCATCTGGGTGGCCAACATAGTGTAGGCTCCCGTAATGATAACGGTGAGCGATTGCTACAACTGTGTGAAGATGCTGGTCTCTTTCTCTTGAGCACAAACTTTCGACACAGCACCCGCAGAAGTGTGACTTGGCGCCCATCAGCTTCGAAGCAGCCATGGACGCAAATCGCTCATATCGCTATCAGTTACAGCTGGAGAGGTTGTGTCCAAAACTGTCGCTCGACTTAGAGCACGAGCGTGGACTCTGACCACGCACTTGTCTACGCTGACTTCCGGATGCGTTTCGGTGGACGTCCGCAACGTCGATGTGAACGGATTGACCAGCCAGCTGGCGAAATCACGTGTTCTGAATGTGTATCAAACTGCGCTGACATCCGGGCTGAGTAAGCGCTCACTGAACACCGTCTAAGATCACTGATCGCATATACGTCAAACGTTCCTATCAACAGGCATGTCTTCATGTGGCAAATCAAATTGCCAAACTGCACATTGGATCTTTACACAGTCTCTGGAACTTATGGATGCTCGCCGAGATATTCCGGCTAGAAGCGAATACAATGAGGCTCAAAAAGTGTCAGGGTAAAACTGTGTGCTAGCCTGAAGAAAGACCGCGAAGCCTGGTGGTCTCATCGTGCCTCTGACATGGAAGCAGTCGCTACCGTTAGCATTCATCGTAAGTTATTCCGTCTAATACGGGAAACAGGCAGCAGGAGACCAGTTGTTAGTGAGACCATACGCGAGGAGAGTAGGCAACCGATCCACAGCCTGTCAAAACGCTTGGAGCGTTGGACTGAAAATTCTGCAAGGCAATTAAACCAAGCTGTTATCACTTTTTTTGAGCATTGAGCGCGCTTCTCCCGAGGCTGTCTCCTTGGATCCGCCATCACGCGCAGAAGTCGAACATGGAATCAGGCTGTTGAAATTACATAAGGTCGCAGGGGCAGATAGAATTTCCACAGCCCACTTCAAATTCGGGGAACTTGCTCTAGCGGATGATCTACACGAGTTGCTAGTGAAACTTTGGGAGGAGGAGACTGTCCTGACAGACTAGAGCCGCTCGATCATTGTCCCAATTTTCACGGGAAAATCCCGTTTGGAATGCGGCAATCAGAGAGGGACGAGTCTGATCTCAATTACCTCTAAATTGCTTGCGTCTGTCATTCTCCACAGACTGACTGGCACTCGTGAAAGCCAGATTCGTGAAGAGGAAGCTGGGTTTCGTCGAGGTCGGGGCTACATCGACCACAACTTCACCTTGCGTCAATTGTTGGAGCACCACCATGTTTATTGGCGACCCATCGTTGTCGTGTTTCTTGACATAAAAGGTGCCCTCGACTCAGTCAATCGATGTGCCCTTTGGGACTGTCTGCTGGGGAAAGGTGTGCCAGCTAAATATGTAAACATTACCAAGGCGCTGTAAGCGCATAGTTCGGGAAGAGTGTGGGTTTATGGCAAACTGTCGCCAGCCTTTATTATCACCAGCGGTTTGAGACAAGGTTGTCCGCTGTCACCTTTCCTCTTCGACTTCGCTATTGATGAAGTCATGGAAACAGCGTTCGCTGGACACGACCTAGAAGTTGTGGAGTTACTTGCTGGTGAGCGGACGATATTGCCCTAATCTGTGACTGCTCCCAAACATGCCAAGCAGCACTGGACCGAGTAGCACTGGCTGTCTATCGTTTTCGGCTATGCTTTGCTCCATCGAAATGCAAGGTGCTTTACCAAGATTGGCAGGGACCCACTCCTGCGCTAAGGCTTTGTGGTGATCTGCTAGAAGTTGTTCAGCAATTCAAGTACCTGGGCATCTATAGTAGCGCTCGTGGGATCGAAGATGAGGTTACAAATCGTATAGCAAAAGCCCGAGGTGCTTTTGCCAATCTCCGCCACCTGTGGCGCAGACGCGACATTACTCTCGCCCTCAAGGGCAGAGTTTATAACGCAGCCGTCCGTTCAACTCTTATATATGGTTGTGAAACCTGGCCCATCAGGTCGACAGAGATAAAGAGGCTCGTCATATTCGATCATCGCTGCCTTCGCAGCTTAGCTCATGTATGGTGGGAGTACCGCGTGAGCAATGAGCGTGTTCGACGTCAAGTATTTGGTGCAGGAAGAGCGAGTGAACCGCTCAGCACCATTATATCAAGCACCAGGCTCCGATGGTTGTGCCACGTGTTGCGCATGTAAGCACACCGAGTCCCGCGACGTGCATTGTTTGCGCGCCGGAGGTGCGGTTGGAAGAGGAGGGGAGACCAAGCGATGACTTGGTCGAGAGAGATGAAAACCCTCACTTGGAAGTTGGCGTCGGTTGATGCATCCCGATCGCCTGGCTGGGGTCCTAAGGACAATGTACGCGTTTGGTTGGACACGCTGATATGGCTTGGAGCCGGCCCCAATGGCGTTTGTGTTGTGAGTTTCTTTGTCTATTGCCCTGCCTTTAGGTTTCCCTTCCAATCCCGATCTCATGCAAAACGCATAATATGATACTGAACATTATACTTTTTGTAGTGCAATTTTTAGTCTTAGCTGAGGTGTTTCTCACACTCAGGTAACGTGCACTGATGATGATGACTTTGGTTAAACATAAGTTGTTAACAACTAAGTTCATGTGGACAGCTGACTACTGTGTTCTCTTGATACATGCCTAGTTAGGCTATGTTTATATTGAAATGTTAATAGTATTCCTAAAGGAACTGTATAGAGCAAAAGAATGCTGTGTTAAATGGTTGTTTCATGAATTGTTGAAAAATGCAAAATTGATTGTATAACGTTTAACAAGTGGTAAAATAAGTGGCCGTGTGTGTAATTAGTCATAGAAAACCAAGTCCTAGGTGTTTGTATAATGAAAGACGTGAGAGCAAACGTTATGAGTGGTCCTAAATGCATGTGTTTGGGTACAGTTCAGGTGCACTAATTGTCTGTAAAGCAGGGTAAATTGGAAAGGAAAGGAGTGGTATAAGTGTATTGGGAGCAACTTTTGTAGTGAGTAAGAGATAGCACATGGATATAGGCAGTGATATGTACACATGATTTCAATCCTAACCTAAAACAACATGAAGAATAATTTGGGAATGCGAAGATGCCTTCCTTAGGAGATTCAAGCGTAGAAGAATTTAAATGTTTTAAATTTTGTGTTCTTTGCGCAGGGACCATCGTAATCTTCTCTGTAGCCTACCAAGTCGTCTATGTACCGTCGGAGCGAACACAACAGTCGGCGCACTCAGGATTCGAACCCGGGCCGGTAATCATGTACACAACCACTACGTTATGCTAGCGCTTACTACGTCCCTTATAATTTAACAGAAAAACCGCCCGTACATCGGCTATTGCATCGTCCATTGCCGCATGGCTACTGTACCATACCAACACTGTCAGAATTCCATTGATCGCTGGTGGTGAATTCGACGGTCCGCTAGAAGAACATTGTCACGGCCTGCTGATCTATAGGACTTTAAGCCAACTAGAGCCTCAAGGACCTTTGATGCGGTTATGGGAACATCCTGCATTTCAATGTCACACGAGAAGTTAGACTGCGAGGGATTGCACAGCCAGTTTGCACGGTGGAAGTGCAGATCAGCACTTTCAAATTCAAGTTCAGGTGGGACTGGAACGATAGGATGTATCCCGCAAGTGTTCCTTCTTGAGTGAGTCGTTGATCCAGGAGCTGATAGGGGTGCTCCAAATTCTTGATGGATCTAAAACGAAAACACCCGAAAAAACTCTGGTCTACCAATTTAATCCCCACGTTCCTTGCATTAGCTGTCCCTGCTATGCCAGTTACGTGAAGTAAGAGAAAATCGAAGGGAAAGAGTAAGGGAAATCAGTTAAAAGAAGAGGATAATACCAATTGTGAGGGAAAGTACAGAAGATAGAATCGAAATATGAAGATGGGAATTAGTCGGGAAAAAGAAAAGGTTTCGTGTTGCCACCCAAGAACATCTAGTTGACGCTCAGATCTCGTAACCGTAGCTTCCATGACAACATTTTCTGGA